CGGTGGCCTTAGCACAACCGGGTTTGCTTACTGAGCAGAACATCATGAGTCTAATCTCAAGCCCATCCACATTCAAGAATCGTTTTATTTGTTAACATGACTAATAGCTGGGATATTATTGTTAATCGCCTTACAAACCCTGTTCATTTGGAAAATAGTAATACAGTGCAGTGATTTTGTCAGCACCTTCTCAAATTTATCAAAATTATTACAGAATATTTAAATTGTTAATGGTAGGGTAGAGAACTACTTCGGCCTAATCGCCCATTTTGGGCCTATCGAGCAGAAAACATCAAATAAATCCTTGATTTCAGAGTTAACAAGTCAATTGTGCATTTGGTACGATACTTTAATTAATAAGCTACCGAACGAAGTCAATGAGAACGCGTGATATGAAGGTTTGCACCCATTATTCCCAAAAACAAAAGAAGCGCTCCGACCGAATCATATTTTATCTTCATCCGATAGGCCGAAGTGAATTCATTGGCGTTTCAATGGCGTTTCAATGCGTTAGGCCGAGTTTAGAATCCGTAGGCCGAGTTTGACGTCAAGAAGCAGTGTTAGACTTTTGAGAATATCTCAACGATTGGTTTCTCTTTATAAAATCTTACGGTACATACGGAAAGGTACATAAATTTGGAAGCCATCAGTAATAATAACATTCCGTTTGGTGCTAAACTGCGCTAGATTAAGAAAGACTAAGTGCGGGTTGTGCTTAATAGGCCGGAAATGGGGTAATTAACCCTAAATACGCGGTGATACCAACAATCAATACGAAACTAACGATTTTAAATTGGTTCACTACTTGACTAGCCTATTGGTCCCAAGCAAATCGATTAACGTACCCTATTCTAGTCAAAATTCTAGTACTACACAATGTTTGTTTTGATTCGCTATGAAAGTTTGACAGATAAAATGAGGGGCTAGTGAATTTTCCTATATTTCGAGGGGTGAATCGATTAGCTTGGGACCGAAGATAGTACCAGAGCTGAGCCAAAAAGTTGAGCACGTTATTTTGGGACCTTCTAGTCTTAGAGTTACCTCTATGGTACTGTTCTTTGATCCACGGAAGAACATACTTACTTAAAATCCCGATGTAGACCTCCGTGTTGACCTTTTTCGCCATCTGGAATGAACACCGGGTCCATTTTTTTTTGCCATTGGAAGCCACCAATCCAAACACCATAACGCTAGCAGGATGTTTGGTCAGATACACGTTCTTGTGCTCGTCGGCCCCGTCTTTTACCGGAAAAGAACTAATATACCGGTCGGTTCTGGAATTTGATACGGGATCGACGGTAAATGTGCTCTCGTCTGTGAACAGGATTACCGGATTTTTTCGCTTAAGGAAGTTTTTTTTTTCCGGGAGTTGACCAACTGCAGTCTTAATAGGCTAGAATCTCGGTTGGGCTCTCCATGCGATACACAATACTTTCAGACGACTCGAGCTATGGTGCTCACTAGGTCACTGCAGCATTTAGGCTCGTATTGTGATCAACTGTGTGTATTAGATTACGACCATAAATCCGGAGAACCCCGAGATCTGGGCGCAATCGCCCCTGCAAACAAACACGTCAATCGTCGGCCTCCCGCGAACAAAAGAACAATCCTGCAAACAAACTATAACAAATCATAGAGGAACTATTCCTCTACCTGTTTGTGTTATTAGTTTTTCCAGACTGAGCCCCAATCCGCGAGAAACCGACAAACGACGTGCCCATCTACAAAAGCAACTACGCTCCAACCTCGAAGCTCTCCGGAAATATGTGATAAATCATGTAAATGTAAATGGAATACAGTAATGTCCCGATTTTGTCAACCCCCTTTTTTGAAAATGTTTTCCAATGTTCTACAAAACCCATGCCCTTTTTCAGTAATCTTCTTGAACCTATTGCACCAAAGTATACTTTAAATATACCTCTTAACGAATGGCGAATGAGAAAAATTTAGATTTATGATTATGTGAAATTATTGAAAGAAAAAAAAAATCTGAAGCGCGGAGGGGCTGACAAAATCGGGTCATTACTGTATTTAAAATAAATGAATTCATTCTTACCTTTTTATGGTTGTTTGATTATTAATTGCTATTATTACCTGCTTAGAGTTGGTTCCTTTAAAATACTGTGTAGAATTTACCTCATTATTCCTCAGTTCTATCGATCTGTGATAGAACCACGCTCAGCATATTATCCTGTAGTACGACTTGGGCATGCACCATGCAAGTAAGTCATCTCTCGTCAAAATATAAATATAGAAAACGAATAAAATAACAGAAAGAAAGGTATTAGTATTGGTTACATGAACAACCCCCCCCCCACACACACACACACACACAACGAAAAAGAAACATAGATGCACAGACAAACAGAAATAACACATTTAATATTTTTCTCCACAAAACATAGTCACTAAAACACTACCGCCATCTGTTGAGTATCATGTGATAGATAGTACGCTGAACAGATGGCGCTAGTGTGCAGACGTCAAACGCAAGGGAACCGACCGTGCGTGCCACAGGTGGCGGCACCACCAACCAAAAACACCCGAATTGACCGTCAAATGCGTATTCGATGAACAACCTGTCCAACCGAGTGTTATGTCTGTTTGTCTGTGATAGATTGGTTATTAGGAAAGTACAACTACATTATAACTATTAGTGCAATGGATGAACGTTAGTTTCGGGGTCATGTTAGTGTTAGAGTTTTGTTAGTATTGACCCGTATTCAGCCCTGTCGGCCCCTCGAACACTAGTCGTAGGCAGTTGTTGTTAGGACATGCGACACTGTCACTGCTACTATGTTAGAGGTATGACCCGTCAAGTTTCGAAGTGCAAAAAAAAAAACTGTTAGAACTTGCTTATAAATTAACTTTACACTCAAAACAAACTATTTACCTTAGCATTACAAAAGCGAATTTAAAATTACTATTTTTATGCTAATATTAAAATTATGATAAAACTACCATTTACGGCTCCGTGAAATTAACTCGCATGAACCTTTCAAATCAATGAACTGGAGAAAAACTACAATTTTAACAAATTGCAAAAAAAAAATCATAGCGACACTTGACAAATCATCATCAAGCCCCTCATCCTTGGACAGGGAGATTTTTTCGCTTAAGGAAGTTCAAGATTTTCTTGAATCGTTCGACTCGTAGCTCCCGGATGCGGTTGGTAGTCATGTGAGTTTTTTTTTTCCGTGCCCTCGACTTCGCCCCGCAATCTTCCTTTACGATCTTCCGTGCCGTAAAGTCACTGATCCCGTGTTCCTTTGCCATTTTCCTTATTGAACGCACTGGATTCACCCGAATCTTCCTTTTGATAGCATCGATAACCCTCGGAACCCGAGCTGACCTCGAACGACCTGTGGCCACCTTCGCGGGTAGTTGTCCTTTCTTTTCTCGGTCTAAACCGCTTTTAACGGTCCACCGGGACACTCCCACGGCGATTGAAATGTCTTTTTGTGACATATTTGCGCGTGGGAAAAAATCACGAATACGATACCACTTTTCGTCATGGTGCAACTGTCAAACTAAGTAAATCATTTTCTTTTATACACAGCCTACTACGGTATGAGCTATAGGTTACGTGCATGCAAAGAAAACCAAGGCATTGTATGCACAGGTGAAACGGGAACCTTATTTGTACGATGGTGCAAACATTATCACGCATACGGTATATTAGATTCACCCTTGGCCTAACTCCCACTGTCTGGCTGGATAAAATCTGCCTGCAATTATTTCTTATGAATGCAAAGAAGCTTGAACCCGGGAGTTAGAAGGTGACAGCTCTACCGCAGCTACAATAGCCCATTTCTAGCACGCAAGCATTCCGAAGCTATTTTGACACATGATAAGCCCCGTTCCAACACATTATCGATGCAAATATAAACCATTGATAATGTACTGAAACTTTCAATCAAGCAGTAGTGCAATACTTGATTGACGCGTATTTAGCTCGGTATTTAGTAAGTTTAAAAATGATCGTCTTGAATTAGATGGATATTTCCTATCGAGGACAGAGGAACGAAAAAGTAAATAAACTTAGCTGAGCGTAGCTACGCCTAGGTTAGAACAGTTGGCATCACATGCAACGGATAGGAATTTGAAAATTTTCACTTAATGCACATTTCAACGTCACTTCTGTACTTTCAAATTAACACTTTTTAAAATGAAATTGTAACACTAGAACGAAAACAAGCAAAACAAAATCACCCATATTCAGCTACCGGTCTTCTGTTAATGATAAATTACACTTAATCACATAATCACGCTTACTACTACACCACCGGCGCCGCTAAAAATGGTGATCGATAATGTTAAACCTAAATCCAGAGGGATTCAACATTTTTTGGGAGCATTACTTCTAAGGCTTATCGATGACCGATATTTTTGGGACCACCCATGACTCACCCAGTTTAAACATATTACCTATGGCAAATTGATCTCTGAGCTAAATGTTGGTTTTGTTAAACCAATTCTTCGGAAGGGAGTGAAGCTTTTCAGAAATATCATTGCACACCACCCTTCCGGATTCTGTATCCGTCATGGCTCGGCACCGACTTTCTGAAATATCGTAAGATAGGAGAAATGGCACTAATGTTGGCCTATGGATCTAAGATTGGGCCCATCGCTATTAAATCTGCTCAATTTTATCTAGATGAACGCGTCATTGGGACGATACTATTGGAAATTTTTGGTCGCTATTGAAAATTTAGTCGATTGCTGAATTTATGTATGGGCCCAAATTAGGGGCATAACATCCTTTTCCCCTATGTGAAAACATACACAACCAATCATCCGACCATAGAGCACGAAGAGCACACGGACTTGCTGAACGCATTTTGAGAAGAGAACGTCGAGTTCTGAGAACCGCACCGCAGAGTTTCAAGTTTCAGAAGGCCCATTTCTGAATTAATCAGCAACCAGAAGTAGAACCGCGTCGCGCGACGAACGAAAGAATCTCATTGACTTTTCGGAATGAAACAATTGAAACCCAAGAATTTTGTAATAGAAACTGACGTGTACTGAATAGCATAAAAGAATTCATTCCAATCCAATCATCTCTTTTGACATGACTGCTCTCGAAACGAGAGCGAACGCTCCAAATAGGCGCGCTTCTGAAGAAGCCGTATTCCACTCGCTAAATCCTCACTTAAGTCTACTAATCTAGAAACTAGGCATCCAATGCCAACAATCGCGTACGATCGTGTGTTTTAAACAAACGCTAAGCTAGATTTTGGTTATTCTAAGCTAATTCTTCGGAAGGGAGTGAAGCTTTTCAAAAGCATAGTTTCACACCATCCTTCCGGATTCCGGATGCGACATGGCTCGGCACCAAGTCTTCTCGGCATCGAGAAGAGCGAAACCATGACGACATTGACTAAGAAAATTTTGATAAAGCTGCACCGCGACTACCTACGTTCTAACTGGTTCTCTTTTTTTTTTTTACTGGCTAATGAATCTCCTCTTCCTAATCTACGACTTTTTGACGGCCAACAGATAGCGCGACACATTCTCGTACGTAACGAACGTAATCATCGTCGCCGGCGTAACGCGCAACAAGTTCGGACCGAGCCCTTTATAGAAGCCACGCCACGATTCAAATCTGAAATGGTTCGGTAGAGAGAGAGAAAGGAGAAGAAGAAGAAAAACGTCTTTATTACTCTTTGATGTTTTTTCGCTTCTTATGTTTTTTGCTAATTTTCTATTTTTGTTTTTTTCTAAAATATATTTTTTTTTATGTTTATTTTTCTTTTGCATTAAAAGGGGTTACAACTAACAGAAATGGAATTCGGGATGTTCTGACTGTGCAGGTTGTACTGAATTGAAAACTAGCTTAAATTATCTATAAACTTTTTGCTTGCTGCTGTTTGCAGATTAAGATAAGTCACTTTTTCTATTCCGTTCTTTTTGCTAATCGAACTTCCTCGAGGGTTGTTTTTTTTTTGCTAGTAATTAACTATTGTTATTGTTAGTAGAGAAAATTAATCTGTTGGTGAGGTTAAATAAAGAGAATTTTGTGTTAGCTGCTGCGCAATTCGGTGATCATTCCAACGAGAGATAAGACCAACAATCACGTATCAACTAACAAAGAGTTGCATAAGGTTTTTTTTTTTTTTTATATAACGTGAAGAAACGGAGACACATTTCTTCTACCAACACCAAAAGCATATTGAGAAATAACCAATTGGGAAAGTAGTAAAGAAACAGTAATCCGATTACAAATTAAATACGCTTTTACCAGAGGTGGTGGACAGCTAAATTATACTTTTCTATATGGTATTTTTTTCTAACTTTGATAATTTCAGATTGAAACGGATTTTCGTACAGAAGTACCTTTGATACCTGGCCATTGAACAGTGGTAATGATTTTGGTTTTTAATTAATTGACCTTGAGTGTCATTAAGCGATTTAGCCGTTAAATTACACTAACTAACATTTTACCACTGGGTAAAAGCCAAATATACAATGCACAACTGTACACAACTTTATTTCAATCTGAAATTATTAACATTAGAAAACATAACGATTCCCCGAAGTATGATTTAGCGGTTAGCGGTTTTAGTGCCCATCTCTGGCTTTAACGTTGAAAATTTCTTTCAACAAGATGCGCACCCCCAAACGGATGACATCCTCTCCGAACACTAATAATAATAGTAATAATTTCTAGCTTCTTGTTTCCGATTTCATCGTACTTAAATAGTGGGTGAAATGATTTTATGAATATCGCGTTGAACACTGACACTTACAAGCTAGTGGCGATGATGGGACGACAATTGGAACAAGAAAAAAACGAATATATCGACAAAATAGCTTCCTAAACAAAACGTACTTAAGTATATAACTACTCAGGACAGCCCAAGAGGAGAGAATCTTTATTTCCTGACTGAGTACTGCACTACTGCTTGGTGAATTGCTCATAGATCAACATCACGAGGCAGATGTTGGGCGTAACGTGGACTAAGTACGGAATAAGGCCCTTGTAAAACCCTGACACTCTTTCGTACCTCCATGTCACCTTGATGCAGTCCCAGGTGCCCTTGTAGCTGTGGTTGTGATCTTGCAGACGGGCCCGTATTACCTGGTACGGGTAAGTGGTAGCCGCAGCAATCAACTTCGAGACGGCGGCGAACGTTAAATACTCTACGGTGGTCTAAAAAAAACAAGAATGCGGTCAGCACATTCCGTCACCGCACAAACCAGACGTCACTTACCAGCTTAGCATCGATGGGCCGCTTCCGGTGTTGGTTGTACCGGTTCTTCATCTCTTCGTACGTCATAAACTGAAGCGCCCCGTGTGACACTCCCAGCATGCCGGGTACGAATCCCTGCAAAACATAAAATCATCCATTCAATAACGCCGATCCGCTCAACTCTCCTCAATGCTCCATCGTACACTATACAACCCCCGGACGCCCTCGGTTCGGTAGATCTTCTTCAGTCCGTCCACCATTCCGTCGTAGCCCTTCTGACCCGGTTCGTTTAGCTGCAAACACAGCCGCGTCTTTACCACCCAAATCGGGTTGGTCATCACCAGGGTCATGACGCCAGCTTCGGCTGCCGCTAGCATGTGCAGGGCCGGTCCCAACGGCTGGGCAGAATTACCATCTTGGATCCACGTTTTGATGGAGTTATAACTGTGTGCAAATAGAACGATTAGAAACTACTTCCTATTACGGACTTACGGTCGGCTGCAAATACTCACAACAAAAAGTAAAATCCCCAAGCGCTGCCCGATCCCCAGATGTTCGGTGTGACTCCCTTGTAGAGACCCTTGAAGCCCTCCTGTCGGAAGATGGTGAGGAATGCTCCGGTGAGGCCTCGGTACTGCGGCAACGTTGCCGTTCGACCATCGTTTACTGGAAAGAGAGTGAATAAAGGGGAAATTAGTCATGATATTTTGACGGTTTCAATTGATTCTTCTACTTCTTCTTTGCTATTATATCCTAACTGAATCAACTACATTGAGTAATACCAGATCAAATTTGCTTAGAAAGAGCCAAGATTGTGCACGACCCTCCCTGAATTGGATGAAACATTTCATTTCCTCAAAAGCCATCACGAACACAACCGTATTCAGGATTTTTGGAAAGCTTCTTAAAAGTAAAGGGAACGTTGTGAAATTTTTAGCAACTTCATAGATGATCAAGAAACATCGTATAACTTTCCAAAACTTTGTAGACTTTTAATTGAACTGCATCAAAATTCTGGAAACTTTTTAGAGGTGCAGTATATTTTATAGAAGTTCAGCAAAGTTTGCAAAAGCTCAGTGAACTTAATCAAACTTCAGTGAATTTTGTAGAACTACTGCTTCAGCAAGTTTTGTAGATGTTCATCAAACCTTGTAGAAACTTTAAAGCGAACTTTAAAGAAATTAAGCGATTTTGTTAGAAATTCCGGGTACTTAGTAGAAGTTCAAGGATGTTTCTTTCACTTCATTAGAATTTTCAAGCTTGAGGAGCTTTGTAGATGTTCAGAGAACATCGTAGTAAAAAAATTAAATTTAATATAAATTCGGGCCACTTTTTCGAGCGTCGGAGTGTTTCGTAGAAATTCAGGGTGCTTTGTAAAAAATCGGACAACTTCGTAGAATTTGGAACCTTATACATGTTTGGGAAACTTCGTTGAAGTTAAGTTTGTATAATTATAAGAAACTAGATAAAAACGTTTTAGCTTCAGGGCACTTCGATAAAGTTCAATGGACTTAAAATAGATCAGGAAAGCCCCTCACCAACTAGGGAGTTTGGTAAAGAGAGATTATCAACCCGATTCGTACGTTCCTCAAAGTTGTCCTTGCTCGCTTTCTACTCTCTATGTACAATTTTCACACTGCCGTACTCTAACTAACCACTTTTAGTCTGTTATTTGAAGCTTAGCATCTTCAACTATGTAAATTTAACACATAAGAAGTTCTGTGGAGAAGGCTCAATTGATCATAAGAGAAAAAAAATATATCTATATAAATTAGATCTGCTATTAACTCTCCTAGAAACCCGCAGTGTTTGTGTGTACAGAGATGTACAGTACCGGACAAAAGTCTATCACCTCGTGATTTTTTAACTCTTCAAAAAAGTTCAAAAAGCTTCAACTTTTTTGGATGGGCATTAACATTTCTGAAACCTTGGTTGCTGGTACATAAACTATTCAAGATATATCGGTATGGTTTTGAGTTTGATTGGCTGAGTTTGTATTGAGCAGTTTAAATGGAAGGCTTCTTATTTGACTTTCCAACTTAACACTAATATTTATTGAAGTACAATGAACCGAATCAGCTGATTTATTTCTCATTGACCTTTGAAACATCGTGAACAGATTTAAGTAAAAAAATCTCAAACTTTTCTAAGATCAATGTTTGTATACAGTTAATTCGGTAATTCAGCCAATCAAGCTATAATAAATCAAGCAAACGAAGCATGGATGCAAAAACGATTTTTCGAGGAAGAGTCGAAATGGATTGAGTCTGTAGAGAAAATACGAAAAAAACATCAGAAGAATAATTGGTTGTGATTTTGATTTGTAGCTGAAACAATCAGAATCATCACCTTATCCTCTCGATAATTCTGCAACATCATCACCATCCGATAGTCGTTCAAGTACGTCCGACAACAACTCTTCCCCAACGGTTTCTGAGAGCACAATGTATCGAGAAGTAGGACGAAAACGACTCCAGTTCAACGATCTTACGGAACAATACAAAGCTAAAAGTTGTCAATGGCTTGCCCGTGATAATCCCTTAGATAAGCTGCTAAGAGCACGCAAACTCGAAAGCCCAGCAGTCACGAAGATTTTGAAATTGTTGAGAAATGGTGGTTAGTCCTGGGTACGTTTAATACGTCAGAGGTGTATCAGAAGATCGAGCCATCTCCCGAATCGTCTTTGATGCTGAAAAACAGACTTGGATTGAGCAAATCAAATTATCAAAGTATTAAAATCAGTGTTTTTTACGTAGGACTACGTCTTTAATTTCTATACTGGGGGTAACATTGAAAAAAAATCAAAATTCAGACATGTAACGAAAAATCCTAAACACGGACGCAACGATAGAGCGCACATGAGCGAGCTCAATTCTCGGTTGAGGGTCAGGGTCACCAATTCAAAAACAGAAAGAGTTAAGAACTAAATGATCAATATATTTGTTCCTTCCACTAGTGGTCCTACGTCAAGCTTCCGTTCGCTCCCCTAGGCACAGACCCTTTTACTTTTTTCAATTAAACACTATGACTTAGCTACTATGAAACAAATTTCTGAATTAAATAGTTTCAAGTATTTGTCACATCTCAAATTGGCAGCCAAATTTAACAAAGTATAATAGCTATTCAAGGTTACTAAACGGCGCCGGTGGTGTAGTGGTAAGCGTGATTACCTCTCACCCCAGCAGGCCTGGGTTCAATCCCAGTCGGCGCCGCCGGGATGTTCTGAGGCATAACATCTCTGATCACGCCTTCCTTCGGATGGGAAGTAAAGCCGTTGGTCCCCGGTTCATGAGTTGATGGGTCGATATGTAGGGTCCAGGTGTGGGAGCTGCCTTCCTGGCACGTCGGTAGCATTGGTGGCTCAGCACGGAAAACAAGATCGACGGAAAAAAAACAAACCAAAGGATTCAAGGTTACATCAAATTTATGAAACACGAATTCGACCTTGGACATTCTACCATTTTCTTCACCAAACTGTGAAGATGGCTATCTGTCGACCTTCAGTTCCGTTTGGCATTTAATAGAGAACGATGTTGAACGGGTCTTCGAACTGGATGACGTAAGATCCAAGATAATTGAGCTCTGTGCCGACCATGCTTGGCATACACAGTTGTACACACCAACTGCTCATTTGTTAATAACTTTTCGCTCAGTTGTTGAAATTTGTTTTTCTTTAAAGTAATTGATAGATGAGGATCATAGTTTACTACTATGCAAGGAGTAGGTGAATCTTAACATTTAAATCAACGACAATGGTTTTTTTACACTTAAAGTCCGAGATGTGCAGCGAGCATTTCTCATTTCATTTTTACCACGCAAAAGCAAATACAGTTTATTACTAGTATTAAAATCTACTTGTTTTTACGTATCTATAACAAGCTTAAACTCTATTCTATTTCCTGCTTCAAAAATAACTATGTTACGTCAACTGTGTGCGAAGTTATTAGCAAATGAGCAGTTCGTGACCAAAACTGTGTATGCCAAGCATGGTGCCTACTACAGAAACGTACCGATTGAGTGTGTGGTGAGGATTTCCGGAGGCCCTGAAGAAGGTTTTCTGATATATTTTGGTATATTTAAAGATAATTAGATATCTCCCTGAACTACGGCAGAACTTCTCTGAACTTCGGCAGGACTTCCCTGAACCCCAAGTCCTACCCTGAGCTTTGGTAGGACTTCCCTGAATTTTGGCAGGCCTTCCCTGAACTACGGCAGGACTTCCCTGAACTTCGGTAGAACTGCCCTGAACTTCGACAGAACTTCCCAGAAACTTCGGAAAAACTTCTCTGAACTTCAGCAGGACTTCCCTGAACTTCAGCAGGCCTTCCCTGAACTACGGCAGGACTTCCCTGAATTTCGGCAGAACTTATCTGAACTACGACAGGACTTCCCTGAACTACGGCAGGACTTCCCTGAATTTCAGCAGGACTTCCCTGAACTTCGGTAGGCCTTCCTTGAACTACGGCAGGACTGCCCTGAGCTTCGGCAGGACTTCTCTGAGCTTCGGCAGGACTTCCCTGAACTACGACAGGACTTCCCTGAACTACGGCAGGACTTTCCTGAACTTCGGCAGAACTTCCCTGCACAACAGCAGGCGTTCCCTGCTGCAGGACTTCTTTGAACTTCAGCAGGACTTCCCTGAACTACGGCAGGACTTCTCTGAACTTCGGCAGACCTTCCCTGAAATTCAACAGGATTTCCCTGAAGTTCGGCAGGCCTTCTCTGAACTACGGCAAGACTTCCCTGAACTTCGGTAGAACTGCCCTGAACTAAGACAGAACTTCCCAGAACTTCGGAAAAACTTCTCTGAACTTCAGCAGGACTTCCCTAAACTTCAGCAGGCCTTCCCTGAACTACGGCAGGACTTCCCTGAATTTCGGCAGAACTTATCTGAACTACGACAGTACTTCCATGAACTTCAGCAGGACTTCCCTGAACTTCGGTAGGCCTTCCTTGAACTACGGCAGGACTTTCTGAGCTTCAGCAGAACTTCCCTGAACTACGACAGGACTTCCCTGAACTACGGCAGGACTTCCTTGAACTACGGCAGGACTGCCCTGAGCTTCGGCAGGACTTCTCTGAGCTTCGGCAGGACTTCCTTGAACTACGACAGGACTTCCATGAACTACGGCAGGACTTTCCTGAACTTCGGCAGAACTTCCCTGCACAACAGCAGGCCTTCCCTGCTGCAGGACTTCTTTGAACTTCAGCAGGACTTCCCTGAACTACAGCAGGACTTCTCTGAACTTCGGCAGAACTTCCCTGAAATTCAACAGGATTTCCCTGAAGTTCGGCAGGCCTTCTCTGAACTACGGCAAGACTTCCCTGAACTTCAGTAGAACTGCCCTGAACTAAGACAGAACTTCCCAGAACTTCGGAAAAACTTCTCTGAACTTCAGCAGGACTTCCCTAAACTTCAGCAGGCCTTCCCTGAACTACGGCAGGACTTCCCTGAATTTCGGCAGAACTTATCTGAACTACGACAGTACTTCCATGAACTTCAGCAGGACTTCCCTGAACTTCGGTAGGCCTTCCTTGAACTACGGCAGGACTTTCTGAGCTTCAGCAGAACTTCCCTGAACTACGACAGGACTTCCCTGAACTACGGCAGGATTTCCTTGAACTACGGCAGGACTGCCCTGAGCTTCGGCAGAACTTCTCTGAGC